TCAATTTTAATTGGATAGAGCATGTTTAAGAAGGGAGTCCTAGAATAATAGGTTGACTTAAAAATTTTACCAGTTATGAAGGGGAACTTGAAATAAGCACCATTATTGCATACTGCAGCATCTGATAATTTATAATTAATAAGCATCTTGCTGCCGTCAGCAATGTTAAGAACTTGGTTAGTCTTGCTGAAGTATTTTGTTGGAACTAACCCTTCATTAATGCAATTTAAGTCAGCTCTTGAATCTATCAGGGTAGTAGTTTGAAAACTGTATTCCTTTTGAACTACAATTTTGATATTAGTAAACCATTTTTGGGTTATTATTTTGTCTACTAGGTTTATGGTATTTGCAATCCTGGACCTTTTCTATCACATTCATATTAGCTTTGGAGGTTTCAGTTTTTTCTTTAGGAAGGGTATCTTCAACCTCGGGTGGTAACGGGGTATCTTATTCAGTTACTAGATTATCAAATTCAATTTCTATGTTTTCTTCTTCAGTTTCTTCTTTGAGAGGTTTCTGGGTTAATTCTAAGAGTCAAACCCTTGTTTCTAGAGCTATCAACTCGTTTCTTACCTCATTGATTTCATGTTTTAATTTAGATATCGAAGGTTCTCTTTCAACTTGAGTTTTATTCTGTACTCTTTTAAGAATGTCATAGACGCTATATTATTCTTTTGTTGGAACAAGAGAAGACTTTGTTTTTCCTGATGGGGCCTTAGACATGTTGATGTATTGAACTAAGGCTTCTCTTTTAGCCTCTGGATCAGATATTTTGTCAATAAGGTCTATAATCAGATCTTCCTCTTTCGTAAGGGTGTTGAGACTTAACCCATTCATATCCATTATTGCCTTGTAAAAATCAGATTGGCAATTCTCTTCATTTAGAGTATCTTCATCATTAGAGTCTGAATCAGAACTGCTGATAATGATATCTGCATCATTAATTTCTCCAACTAACATTTCATTTCTGAATTAGAAGTTTCATCTTTTATTTGGAGTATTTCAAATAATTGGGTTTTAATATTATCATCTATTTCTAGAGAGTTAATCTTTCTTTTAACTCTACATTTATTTTTGTAATGCCCTACTTTGCCACAATTATAACAACCGAGAATTCTTCTTTTTTCCCTATCTTTAAAGGATGGTTTGTTTTGTAAGAATTTTCTGGAAAATTTTTCCCTTTTCTTTGAAGATTGTTTAAATTTTTTCTTTCTGAATTTTTCATGCTTTTCTTTATAAAAGGGTTTTGAAGGGGGTAGGGTATTATAACCAAACTGTTCACAAAAATCTCCTAACTCCTTCCTCCCCATTATTCTCTGTTTTTCTAATTGTCTTCGAAGTTTTAGGTCTGTACATAAAGCTAGACCTTCAGCACATATTTCGGCTGATAATTCTCCTAGTGTATACAGAGAATAAGGAATAATTCCACTATACTTATTTTTAAGCCTTGTTTTTACCTTTTCTACAAAAAGGTGTGGTAGACCAGCTATAAATTTTTCTTTCCAATGGTCTGATTTACTATCTTGTCTTGATAATAATATTGATAAAAATACATCTTTATACCATTTATAATGAGAGAGTGTAGGACATCTCGGATTGATAACAGGTCTTCAGACCTTGCTGCTAATAAAGCAGTGCTTCCTACAAAATGGAGGGTAATTGTATATATTAGAGTATTGACGACATCTCCTTCTTGGATTATATTGTCTTGGCCATTTCACTTTTGACTATCCATTGTTTTGAGGCATTTAATATTTGGTTTTTTTATTCTTCATTCATATGGAAATCCCACCAACCTCTTAGCCATCCTGTAAGTCCACATATGATGGCTTTTGCTATCTCATGATCTTGATTTTCGCTTGCCTTACGGGCAGTGGCATACATAGTCATGTGTTTCATAAGATCTAGGATTTGACTCTCAGCCATGCCATCTATATTTCAGTTTACTATGGATTTTCTTGAATTAGGTCTTCTTCTATTTGAAGATCTACTGGGGTAGGGTATTATAATCAAACTGCTCACAAAAATCTCCTAACTCCTTTCTCCCCATTATTCTCTGTTTTTCTAAGCGGATACGGAGTTTTAAGCTAGAAAGAGCTCAAGTTAGTGTGTAGTGTGTGGAGTGCTCTCTCTCTCTCTCTTAGTCTGTATATCTGGTGGTTTATCATACCATCCAGCTTCTCGTTTGTGAGTCTGTAAAAGTGTGAGAATTTCATGTGTGATTGCTTTTGGAAAGAAGTGCCAAAGTACATTCCTGAATAGTTAAGGTTGTTTACCAGCTTCTGTATCTGTGAAATGTAAGTTTGTTGTTTTTTGTTTATTAAGCCTTGATCTATAGTTCTATTTTGATTATTGTTACTTTGATATTGTTTATGTATTATTGTTGTGTTTAATGTTTATGTATTGTTCTTGTGTTTATATGTTTATAGAGACAGTGTAGGACATCTCAGATTTGATAACAGGTCTTCAGACGTTGCTGCTAATAAAGCAGTGCTTCCTACAAAATGGAGGGTAATTGTATATATTAGAGTATTGACCACATCCCCTTCTTGGATTATATTGTCTTGGCCATTTTCACTTTTGACTATCCATTGTTTTGAGGCATTTAATATTTGGTTTTTTGATTCTTTATCCATATGGAAATCCGACCAACCTCTTAGTCATCCTGTAAATCCACATATTATGGCTTTGGCTATCTCATGATCTTGATTTCTGCTTGCCTTACAGGCGTGGCATATATATATATATATATATATATGATTCCATGCATTACTAGATATTTTACTAAAAGTTAGCCAAATCGTGTACCAAGGTCACAATTCCGGATTCGGAATCGCGATTCCGCTGTTCTCAAGATGAAACTCGAATCTACAAGATAAGAATCATGTTTTCGAATTTCATAGAACGCTCGAGATTATTATCTGAATCTCGTTTCTTGGAAGGTTGGAATCTAGATTCCATATCGCAGAATCTACGAACAATAGTTGCACAACAATTCGATGCAACATGTGTGAGACATTGATTCCAATTTTTTAAGAATCATGAAGCCCTGCTATTTGGAAGAGAGTTCCACATCATCAAAAGGCGTAGTTCTTAGGTCTACTAAACAATGTTCCGATCAACATGGAATCAAGTTCCAATAACACAAAATCAAGATTCAAATGCAAATGTTGAATGAAATATGTTCACAAATTTTATGTTGCGGGAAGAGCTCCAAGAACTGATTCTATGTTACGGAGGAGTTTCAGGAAAATTTTGTACAAGCCTAGATACCAATTATTTGGGTTTCAAGACTTTGACGTTGTGAGAGCCAAAAGCCATAATAAACTTTCGAGATGAATCTACGTACCATAGTCTTTACCAAGTTGCCCAACAGATTTGTGAATCTATAAATCATTAAGTGGGTGGCGGTCCCACATCAAGGTAAGACGTTTGGGTGGCGGTCCCACCCTCAATGTAAGCTGTTTATATAGGATGCTTGCAATAACCAAATGCTTATTATTGATCATTTCTCTACCACGTAAAGGATTATATGGGGCATGTAAGATGTTTATTAATGATCATCTATAGTATTAAGTAAAATGCTTATCATTCGTTGTCTCATTGTATATTTGGTGGGGCATGGACTTAAACCCCTAAAGAACAAGAAAAAGAAAAGGAAAAAACTGAAATGGGTTAATGGTGATCGAAATTCATGGCCCCTTGCGGTCTTTGGATTTCGAGGAAAATGTGACATCTTGGTTGTCAAGCTAATACCAAGCTATGGTATCATCTGTGGCATATATTTGGTTTTACATGGATAATATGGGTCAAGCTATGGTATCATCTATGTTTATCCCCAATCATCTATGTAAAACTTCAAATCATTTTTGTAAAATACTTCTCTCCTATACCAGAGGGGATGGGTGCACGATTCCTGAATTGTGGGAATCTCGATTCTCAACTGATGGGGACAATGATTCCAGTAATGTAGGAGTCACGATTCTGGAAGTCATTGTATTGTGTGGGATCATTTGTGATTCTTGAAACGTAAGAAAGTTGATTCCAACATGATGGGGATACCGATTCCTACAAATAAGAATCACAATTACTATTTTGTTGAATCGTGATTCCAATTATTGGGAATCACGCCTTCGATGGTTTCATTGTACGGACGACGATTCCGAGATTAGGAATCATCTGGCACGTGTGATTCTGATGAAATAAATTGGAATCATATGTGTTCCCAACAACTATAGTTTAAAACAATTTATTTGGTTGTATTTAGTTCGAGTCCAAAGCTGCCACCAAGGACCTGTAGCCACATTGATGTTGATTCATGACTTGTCATCATGAGGGCACAATTCAATATCTTAGTAAACATTGAGGCAACGTGCTGTACGAGATAAAACACCTATGTCTAGGGTTTCCTGGCCTTTTCCATTATGCTGTTCTTCTCATCATGTAGATGACAATCTGTTTAACATATACTGGGGGAAAACTAAGAGACGATGTGAACCTCAACTGGGCACATCCCATGGATTGTCACATGTCTTCTTATTTCCCCTTCGTCAGTTGGGCTACCTCTTATGGACGGCTCTGCTCCTGCTCTTTCCTCCTCTTTCCTCCTAATTCCCCCAGTATTTCAATCAAAAACTTATGGTATGTCGCCTATTAAACTTGACCCCTCTCTCGACTAGCCCTAAGTCTCAATGGATGTCTTTGGTGGTCTAACTCTCCTCTTTTGGCACCTCCATAAATGGCACATTCCGTCTTACACCCCCATAGTGGTGTTTGCACCACACCTGTTGCGTGTTTAACCATCTCCTTCTCAAAATTATAATGGTTGTTTATCGAAATATGCAGCTTGTATCTTGCACATTGCAGATTAACCTTTTATATACTCAACTCTGCTGTTTTAGATTTGCACTAACCTTCACTTTTCTTTTTAGTTTGCCATGGTTATTATCTCATGTTTATGCTTTTTAAAATTATGTTTTACTGTCTATGATTTAATGCAGGTTTTAACACAAAGAGCGCAAACTATAACCAACAAGCCTGGGGTGTACTTACTACTGCTGGAAATACTAAATTATCGACTACTTCCACTATATAGGTATTTCATATTTTTGACTTTGCAAAGATATGTCATGGTTTTTTATTCCATTAAATATCATGGTACCGACTGTATACCAGATACCGATCATATTGATTAAGTTTCTGACCAAAAGTTACTTAGATTTGTCGTATAGGATGAGAGAGAAGAGAACTAGTATATGAGATAGGAAGCTTTTGGACCTCCATTTCTCAATAGAAAACACAAGTACATCATTGAAAAGAGAATTTGTGGGGGATGAATGATAAATTCCTAATTTGGGAGTTTAGAAACACCTGAAAATATAAAAAGAAACATTACAATGGGTTTTGTTGTTCAATTAGATATTTTTTCCTGAGTTTTATTTCCATAGGTTTGAATTTTGAAGCATTCATGCTCACATGCTTGCCTTATACTTGTTACAAGGCCGAGAACATCATGTCTGATTTCAGATACAACTTTTAAAATATCAGACTCAAAGTTGGGCAGACAATCACATATAAGTGCGCTTATGAATCAAACAAAGGCCCTGAACTCTAAAAGGCAAACTATATTCGTAAGCTAAACCAACAATTGCCTCTGGCATTGTCCCTCAACATATTTGCATTCATTATACCACTATTACCATTGTTGCTTTGATGATTGTCTTCTTTTCTTTCTCGTTCTTCTGTCTGCTTTATTTGAACTTGCCTTTGCTGCCTTGCGGGTATGCGGAATGATGGAAAGCTTACTTCACTGACTTAATACTGATCTTTATTTGGAATGGTGGCTGGTTCCTCCATTCCTCTATCACAAAGCCATGGCTGAAGTTCATTGAAGGTGGGCATTGGGGTTCTAGCTGTCAACCACCACTCTCTCTTCAGGATAGGGTTGAATGATACATGAGAGACTTTATATGGTTGGGTGACAGCAGGGGACACCACTCCATCTTGCAAACTGGGACAGTCTGCAAACGGAGAGCCTAGATTTTGGGGCATTAGAAAATCTGAAGCCATGAAGTCTGCCTTGTTGGGAAAATGGTGATGGCGCTTCACCTCGCAGGAGGGTCTCTTGTGGCAGGAGGTAATCAAACGCATGTATGACCTGGATGAATCTGGGTGGTTGTTTGCTACCTGAACTACAACCCCTGAAGGCCTTCCCCAGTGCTCGGGACTTGGGAATTTGTAGAGGGATTTCTTGTTTGTGTGCACATTTTGCTGGAAGAATGGGGTTCTCGGTTAAAATTGTGAACGAATAATGTGGAAGCACAAGTGGCTGGGTGAAATTTCTTTGGATATATTTTTCTTGAATCTGTTTCAATTTAATCCTGGACCAAACCCAATCTTATGAATTTCTGGTGGACCAATTGGTGTGGTCACCTTGGCTTAGGGGGAATTTAGATTGAGATGAGATCCTCTAATTTGAATCCTTGCTGTCTCTTCTTAACTTGCAGTTCATCCCCCAGAGAGGTCCGTAGAAGATGCTCTGGAAATCCCCACCAGTGTCATTGTTTTACAATCAGTTGCTTGATAGCAGTGCAACTGACCGCTTCCTAGTAACAAAATCCAAAATTTTACATTGCTGGTTATAAACAGAAAGATCCTGACCGGTGACAACATTCTGCAGAGAGGTATGTGCCTTCCAAATAGGTGTGCTATGTGTAAAAAGAGTAAGGAGATAATCGATGACCTTTTCTCTGCACTGTCCCCTTGCCGGCCAGGTTTGGTCTTTCATTCTGGATCTGTTGGATGGCTGTTGGCTCTGTCCAAGGTCGATTACTAGCCTTTCCATCCCATTACTGGCCTTAGGCCTAGTTCTCTGGCGCTCTGCCATACTGGCCTCACTCTTGGTCATGTGGAACAAAAATTTGAGAATCTTTGAAAGTCCTGAGTTCCTGTTAGGGCCGGTTTGGGTTGAAAATTAAATTACAGGATGTTCTTTCTTGGAAATGAGGTATCTCCAATGATTTCCAATAATCGACACCCAAAATTGGGGGAGAGATCTTCCTGTCATCCCTGTTTTTACTTAATTTTGGGGAAAAGATCTTCCAATTAGATAGTTAGAAAATTGATTCTATCAAAATGAATCATCTTCATGCTACATTGTCTCTCTCCTCTACAATCCCTGTCTTTCTCTCACACGAACTCTCCATCTTCTCGCTTCCCTTGAAATTCTCAAAACTTTTTTTCTAGGTAGCCAAATGGGCCATTAGAAGCTTTATTCAAAGACAGTTAATCCTTGGTCATCTTTTGACCTACTCACCAAAAGGAGTTCAAGTCCTTCTAATCAACGGACATCGTACTAAACTATAGAGTCGTCTCTCTAGCTACTTTGATGCCCGTTCCGAAGTCCCCCCCTTTGCCTGGCTTCCAACCTTGGCACTATAAACTCAACTTTAACAGCTGGTCGTTGGGCAATCTAGGACTGGGGGGGGACTACTTTGATGCCCATTCCGAAGTCCCCCCTTTGCTTGACATTCAAGGGGCCTATAACTGGTGGGGACTTTCATAGATAGTTCAACTTCCTCCTTGCTGACATTCAAGGGGCCTATCCTAGTGGCTCAACCTCAGCTCTGCTTTGGGGCTCTCCTCAAAGGTCTCAAACTTTTTCATAGAAATTGGGATCCCCGCTCATTGTTGAAGGGAACTCTTGCTACATTTTTTTTCTTTTTTTAGAAAGTACACTATAAGTGTATTATTGAATAATAGAGTATACAAAAAATGAGGTGACTTGGAAAGGGCACTCTATGCATAGTCCTGTAGGGTCAACAAATGCTTTACAATGAAGCAATTACTTATCAAAGAAGCGGGGAAAGAAAAAGGTGGCCGCAAAATCCTAAGGCTCCTTTCGGGGAATTAGAATAGGCCCCAATCCAAGCCAATCAATCTGCGTCAGAGTTGGCTTCTCTAAAAGCATGGCAGCTTGAGATTCTGAAACCATAGGATAAGTGGGAAATCTCGTCAAATATGTTGTTGATGGAGGAAAAAATTGTCTTTATTCTTTATTTTTATTCATCTTTAAATGATGTATATTATAGTTTGTTTTTAGGGCTTATTTCAAGGGTTTTTAGTTTTTAGGGATTCTAGGGTTTTTATCTTTTTTTTTTTCATTTCATGAGTACTATTCGTGATTAATGTTCACGTGTACTATTCACAGGGGTAAAATTGTCACTATGAAAGGGCGTGGATGAGCTGGAGAGGCATTCACGTATTCTTCTTTAAGAAAAGAAAAGACATTGTCTTGTAAAAGAAGCTTACGGGTTGAGCCCTAGGTGGGAGGAAGTCATAGTGTTTCTCCAAAATTGCTTGTGTCAAGGTGTTTCTTGCTGATTTTTCTTTGTTTCTTCAAGTTCTCCTACATCAAGTGGTATTAGATCTGCGATCTACGTGGAAGTTACTGTAGCTAGTACGGAGTACTGTAGCACAATTTTTTTTGGTGCCCTAGGTCAACTACAAAGAGGAGAAGTTATAGTGGGGTCTAGGGTTTGCTGATTTTGGCCAAAGTTTTGTCTAAACAACCTAGATCTTGTTGATTTCAACAATGTTTGTTGATTATTTTCTTAGGGTTTGTGATTTCGATGAACCCATGGCAGCGAGAAGGGGCTGTAGAAGGGGGTTTTCGTAGATCCACTCCGTGATACCATAGATGACAGATTTGACAAACTTAAAAGATAAGTACAGCAGCTGGCGCAGCCGTTCACGAGCCTCAAAATGGGCAAGACAGTGATCTTTCAGCCCAAAAGGACCTCGAGTACAAGCCTTTCACTTTCGTGCTCTGTGTGTGGAGTCAAGTGATGAGGATAGCAACCAAAGACCTGAATGTGGGATGCATCACTCTAGGGTTTTTGGTTTGAAAGATGAGATTTTTTATTGACACAGATTGCATAAAAACTCAGCAAGTTGAGAATTGGGATTCACCATTAATCTTGCATATGTACTCAGATGAACAACAAGATCTTTTAGGAGATCCGATCTCTGGTAAGGATCACGATGATGGTGAAGATATTTTGCAAGAGGCTGAACTTCATGGTTTAATTGCTGATCTCAAAGATACACTTGTGGTGTGTTCTAGATCTGAGCTTGGGCAAATTCAGCAGGGTTTGATGCAAATTCTATTAGTTTATGTAATTAAAAATATTCTATCAACATATAGTGACCCTTTCCTCGAGGGATTTTCAGTTTCAATGCATAATCATCGTGTTTTGATAAGTGCAATAACCGACAAGCCCAAGGATCATGTTTGTAATTTTCGAGTTGAAGAATGTTGCCGGATTAATACCAATTTCATCTTAGCACACATCAAAACTTGAGGACGAGTTTTATCCAACCAGGGGAGAATGATGGACGGAACAATTGTTATTATTTTTTATTTGTATTCAACTTTAAAATGTTTATTTAGTTTGCTTTCAGGGCTTATTTCTAGAGTTTTTAGTTTTTTAAGGATTCCTAGATTTTTATACTTTTTTTGTTCATTTCATGAGTACTTTTCATAAGTACTATTCATAATTAATGTACATGGGTACTATTCATAGGGGGAAAACTGTTCTTATGAAATTTATACTTAATTTAGGACTTTTTGGCCAAAAGTTAATTGTATGGATAAATATCATCCAAAACAATAATTTTTCATCATAAATAAGGGCGTGGATGGGTTGGAGAGGTATTCAAATATTCCTCTTTAAGAAAAGAAAAGACTTTTTCTTGTAAAAGAAGCCTAAGGGTTGAGCCCTAGATGGGAGAAGCCTTTAGGATTTCTCCAAAATTGCTTCTGTCAAGGTTCTTCTTGTTGATTTTTCTATGTTTATTCAAGTTCTCCTACATCAGTTGTCTAGATGCCACAACCAAGAGGAGAGATTAGATGCCCATGTGATGACGTTCTTCGAATCCCCTTCCACAACCCGATCGGGGCTCCATGTGTGGTCAAACTTGCGAAGGCCCTTCAAGAGGCTAGGGCGTCGGCAAGAGTGGAGTCCGCCAAATATCGATAGGGCAAGAATAAGATAACAAGGTGCATCCATTACTTGACCGAAAGAGACCACCAATTCTAGATGGTCCAGGATTGCCAAGGGAGCAACCATTGTAGTTAAGCTTAATGGATCCCGATTTTGGTGGTCTCCAGAGTGATACTTGAGATCCTAGGTTAGGCCAGGCGCAGCAAATTCTGCCAATTGCTGTGGAAATCAGTAAAGGAGAAGTCCTTGAAGAGCTTGTGGTTCGTGGCCCAATAGGCCACTAAGTTCCTGACTTTCTTGGACAACACCCTGATCGTGGATCGTTCTCCCCTTGAAAATTTTGTGGTTCCTTTCTATCCATTACACCCAGATGGTGGCTGAGACAGAGGCTTTCCAAAGTACTCTCCCTGCCTTGGGCTAGGGAGTGTAGAGAAACGCCTGAAACAAATGGGGGATGGATCTAGGAGTGACCTAGGGCCACTTGAAAAGGCATTGAAGGTTGGTCCATAAGGCTCTAGGGACTCACAATGGAGGAAAAGATGGGCATTAGACTCTTCATCATCCAGGCACAAGATGCATCTCTATTTGGGTATTGGAAACCTCTTCTTTGAAGATGCTCCACAATCAGCACTCTTCTCGTGGAGCGCAATCCATCAAAACACCTGTAACCTAGGTGGTAAGAAGGGAAACCAAGCTTTGGAGGTTAGAGTGAGGGTGGGACAAGCAAGGTTGGGATTGAAGGTGAGGATTCAAAAAAAGGAGGACCCCAAGAGTAATACCAATGCTGCTGGAGCCTAAATAATCTTATCGTCTCCAGAGAAAGGGAGGAATATAGAATGAAGTTCAGCCAATGCCTTAAAGTGATCGACTTCGTGATCATTGAGGGGTCTCTTGAAGTTAGGTATCCAAGATTTGTAGGACCCCAAAGCACTGAAGTTCTTGGCCACGGAGGACTGAGCATCACCGGCTAAGAGAAATAGGTTAGGGAATTGATTCTTGAGAGGTGTGTGGCCGATCTAAGTGCCAGTCCAAAACTTCACCCTATTCCCCTCCTGTGGTTGAAATCAAATGTGTTGGAGGAAAGTATCTCGGAACCGAAGGACAAACCTCCAAAAGCCAGAGATATGCCCATTGGTTCTGCATTTAGGAGTCCAATGGTGATATTGTCCTAACCATAGTTACCGGAATCTCTCCACCGACCTCGCGATTCTGGTTTCGAAACCCGATTCCGCCTTTCTATGAAGGAATCTACATGGAAACCGTTTTTCTAAACCAATAAAACTCGATTTCTTAATTTCGGAATTTCGATTCGACACATCTTTAGAAACCTTTTTTCGGAACCCAAGAAACTCGATTCCTTAATTTCAGAATCTCGATTCAACACATCTGTAGAAACCATTTATCGAAACCAAGGAAACTCTATTCCTTAATTTCGGAATCTCGATCCAACACATCTTTGAAAACTTGAACCCATTAATTGTGGGTAGACATTCCAAAATATATCAAATCTGGATTCTAGCGAGGATTAAATCTTGATTCCATGTCAATTGGAGTAGAAATCTTATTTCGAATGCCTTCTAGTGGTTGCACTGTTTCATTATTTTACATGTGCCACCCTGGATGTCCTTTACTTTAAATTTAAAATATAATTGGTAAATACAACACATACAATTAAAAGTAAAACGATGGTGTAGACATAATCCTAGTTTGTCTTTATAATAATGAAGTCAAAATCACAATTTAGGAATACTTGTCTTTTGTATATAATGACCATAAATTCAATAGTCAACGCAATCACTTTAAAATTCAAGAAACCTTCTAATAAGAGATATCCAGTATAGGTTCTAAAGTTAACGAGACTCAAGATGTGCTTGTGGCTTCCTTCTCCTCAAAAATGAAATCTTGATTCCTCGTAGGGGTCGTTAAACACATCCCATTGTCCATATTATTGTAAATCTCGATCTCAAACTAGCATGGATCTCTAATTTATATACTTGAAAAACTTGATTCCAAATATGTTAGAATCACGATTCGAAACAACGACATATCTATGTTCCACATATGTCAGAAACTCGATTCCATAGATATTGGATACTCGATTCCCCATATTAAAGAATCTTGACTCCTAGAGTATCGATTTCAGGGGGATGGGAATCCCGATTCCAAGGAGGATGAAATGTCGATTCCATAGGTGAATGAAACTTGGATCTATTTCGGTCAAAACACGATTCGCAAAAACTAGGAACCTCGTTCCTAACAATTCCTATTGTACAAACAACGATTCCTAAGACAGGAATCTTCTAGCCGGCCGGGATTCTGCGGTTCCGGTTCCTAAAATGATTCGGGCTCCCGTGCATTTTCAACAACTATGGTCATAACAATATTTGTGCTTGATGACCTCCCTCCAAAGGTGACATGGTTGGGTGGCATACCTCCACCACCACTTGCCCAAAAGGGCATTGTTGTCGGCTCTGAGGTTGCAAATACCAAGGCCCGCCTGAGATTTAGGTAAACACAGTTTGGGCCAAGATATGAGATGAAACTCGTGTCTGTGATCCCCAAACCAGAGGAATTCCCTCATCATTCGCTCCAATCTCATGGCCACGAGGCAGGGATATGGCCAGTTGCAAGTGGAGTTCCTGTGCGCTCTTGGAGATTGGAACAGCTATTCAATAAAATCAACACTATTTATTGAAGGATTCAAGTTTCCTTTTGGCACATATGGAGAGGGTCCAATGAAGCTGCAGACTTACTAGCAAAGGAAGGGGCCCAAAGCCCAAGTTTTGTGATTAAACCTCTCATTCTTTTGAGAGGCATAATTCTTCCGGTTTACTTTTCAGTTGTACAAGACTATACACTTCTCTGCCTACAACTTTGGTCGGCCCTTTTAAACTGCAAGCTGTACAAAGTTTTGTGATTAAACCCCTCTCATTCTTTGGGAGGAATAATTCTTCTGGTTTACTTGTCATTTGTACAAGACTATACACTTCTCTGCCTACAACTTTTTGTCGGCCCTTTTAAACTGCAAGCTGTACATTTTCCATTCTAAATATACCCAAAAAACAAGAAAGGTATACATGATAGGTGGTTCTGGATCCTGCATCCTAGGTAAGTGTTTTATTTAGAGAAGAATGCGTTAGGCTAGTTGAGGAGGGTCTCACCTATATGTATCCACAGCATTTCTTTTGGTTTCCATCTTAATCCTTCCAGTACGGACTGCAAGGCTTCTATGTCCATAGTCAATCATGTCTTGATATGGAAAAATGGGACGGAGTTGGATCTTCCAAAAGTGATAATTAAAATTGTTTGTTTCTGTACTGAGAAGAGAGTATGAAAGGCATAATTGGATTGGGGCCATGGGAATGAAATTAGCAACAAAATAGAGAAAGTATGATTAAAGGGATGGCAGACGGATGGAGGGACATGGCTACTTCACTTTTCTTTCAAGATAAATACGATGGAGATCCTACAGATGGTTGCTTTGTTGCATGACTTGTTGAATGTCAGAAGTGTTGATGATAAACCTCCTTGACTCTAAAAGCATGAAACAATTTTTTTATTTCAGAGTAACTTTATTTATAAAATTAAGTATATGCACTGAGGAATTGGCATCAAAGAAGAATCGTGGCAACATCTTGATAAGCCAAAGCATCAGCCTCAACTAGATTAGAAATGGAATAAACCATGAAATTATTTAAAGTAGGCATCACTCTAAAGTTCCATATTTTGCAGTGTCTGGATATACCGAGAGTGACAAATACATTTAGCAATTCAACATAAATGGGCAAATCTTAAGTTTCTACATGATTCATGGCATATTATTATATCTTTATGATGATGCTCTTCTCTATAGATCAATGATGTGTGGCAGTAATGAGTAATATTTTTTTCTTGCACTACCATTTTAATCTTATCTTTTGTGTAGCTGTTCTACATTGCTTATGATCCATGCAATATTTTGACTTTTTTTTTTTTTGGTGGCTAGCCTCGGATATCCAGAATTTTATTAATTATATTACTTTCTTAAACCCACATGTTCCTGATTGTGGTGTTTTTGTACTTATGGTGATGCTTTTGTTATGTAGGTATCATAATAAGACTAAAACCCTGATGTATGATGTTACAAAGATAATTTCTATGACAAAAGCGAAACGTGGAGAACATCGTCTTTTCAGGCTCGCTGAGAATTTGTGCATGAATCTAATTCTTTCCATACGAGATGTTTTTCTAGTGAAAAAGGAACTAAAGGTTCTCTAATGAGTCTCTGCAGAAAATAAGTTATTTTAATGGAGCAGGAAGCTAGTTGCAGAAGTTACTGATTTGATGGGAATTTGCAGGGTCCCACTGATTTTACTGAAACATTGAATCGGGTTGCAATTATCAGTCTTGCGATTACAATAAAGACGCGTGGAATTGCGGAGATTGAGCACTTGCTCTTTTTGCCACCATTGTTAGAACAAATAATGGCCACTAGTCAGCATACTTGGTCTGAGAAAACATTGCGCCATTTCCCACCTCTTGTTCGTGATTGCTTAATGGGAAGGATGGATAAACGGAGCCAGGCTATCCAAGCTTGGCAGCAGGTTTCCTCGACAACCTTTAAAATCACGTTGCTATTGCAGTAGGTTTGCTGTTGGATTTCAGTTTGCATCAAACCCTAAAATTCATAAATGGGAGGAAATAGTAGGAGCAAATCCAAAACATATATGCATTTCATTAGCTATATGGATCGTCGACTACTATGAGTTTGCTTGGTTTGGATGACACTTTAACAGTAAATTTGAAACATGAATGGCTGTGCAAAATGATAAGGTGGTACGGAATGTAAGAACAATAAAGACTGTCATATCCCTCCTCTCTTCCTCATTTGGGTGCATTTTTATGCTTGTCCTCCTCCTTTAAACCGTGGTATATTACATGTTTCTTCTGTTCTTTCTCTTAACATAGATCATTATGCTCTTTCATAAGGAAGTTCTGTAATTTAGTTAATTTGCTTGGTACATAAGTTTGAATGCTGTTTATGCATTAAAAAATTGTGGCAGGCGGAGACAACTGTCATTAATCAATGTAGGCAGCTCCTATCTCCTTCTGTTGATCCATCTTATGTCGTGACCTACATCAACCGCAGTTTTCCTCTGCATCGTCAATATCTTTGTGCGGGAACTTGGATGCTTATGACCGGACACCCTGAAAGCATTAATAGTGCAAATCTTGTAAAATCGATACTAATTTGTTGTGGAATGTTTTGGTTATCTTGTATACTTACTGCACTTATAAATTGCTAATTGTTTTATTGGACTCTTGAACCCTTTTAGCATGATTTTTCTTTGCAGGGACGTGTTCTGAGGGAACTGTCACCTGAAGAAGTGACCTCAAACATTTACACAATGGTGGATGTTCTTCTTCACCACATTCAGATTGAACTGCAACATGGTCATGTCATTCAGGTTTTCTTTGTAATCTGTGAAATCTCATAGGCAACACTGCATTCTAGTGTGCATGTTGTGTCTCTATGGGTCCTAGCACCATCTGTTGTGCAATTTGTTGCTGATATGGTGTCTGTGCATGGACCTCGTTTTCTCTTGCATATAGGTTGTGGGTGTATGCATGTTACTTTCTGTCCAGGTTTTTAACTTTTTCTTTATCTGTTTTCCTATTTTTTTGATGGATCCTGTTTCTGTTTTGTGTGTTTCTCTTGTTTAGGATCTCCTAATCAACGCCAGTGTAAACCTCACTTTTTTTATCTGGACAAATGAACTACTTCCATTGGATATTTTGCTCTTGGCTCTCACTGATCGGGATGATGATCCTCATGCTTTGCGCCTTGTGGTATGTATTTCCTTGACAGCTTCTTAAGATCTTTTGAGGCATTTTCATGAATTTATTCCATCAAATGTTTAATTCATGACTGACAATCATCAGGAAGATTCAAAAAGAAAATGAAATTTTAAGCACTTGTATGACAATACATTTCATCTTTATTTTATAGGTTGTATCAATGATGTGCCGCAAATTTTTATGGCTTGCATTTTAAATGGGGAAAATAAAATCTGAATGGCAGGATACCCCTTTATTTATCTGGCCTGCAAGGCGGGATATCGCTCATCACGGTAACCCTTGCCAATGAGCCCATTTACCTCATGTCATCCAAGTTGCAGTCATTAATGTGGGGCTTCCTGTGGAAGGGGAGCAATGAGCACATAAATTTCACTTAATAGCCAGGAATAATGTCTGCCAACCAAAAAAAGGAGGTGGTCTTGGGATTAGAAGACTAGAAGAAACAAATCTAGTCTTGCTTAGAAATTGGTGGTGGTGGATCCTATGCCTATGGCCTATCCAATTCCATGGTGGTGTCTTTCTATAATTCGCAGCTGCCGGCATAGGCCCCTAATCTTATCTGTCGAAAAATTTGTTCTACCCCAGCACCTTTAAAGATTCAAGCCTTCTCATGGACGCCTACACAACGGAAATCTTGACAATAGATCAACTACAAAGAAGGGCCCCACCTTTTCCTACCATTGTATCCCCTGCCAACAAGAGGAGGAGACGGCTAGTTATCTCCTTCTCCATCTCCCAGCCATCTCCTCGTTGTGGTCGATCTTTTGGCTTTATTTCAGCTACTTTGGGCATATCCAATGGACGTCAACCAACTATTCCATGCCTTTTTAGCATCTCCCTCCCAAAACAAGATTGTCATATTTGGAGGGTCTCCATAATGGCAGCCCTATGGGTTATATTGAATGAGAGGAATGCTAGAACTTTTCCGAGGCCAAAGTTAGCCTTTATCCTCCCTTCTAGATCGCAAAAAGCATTGGTGACTTTTTGGGTTAATAAATTACAGCCGTGTGCCAACTTCGACTCCTCGATGTTCTTATCCAATCACTGGATCGAACAGTTAATGAGAAGGTTCTTTTGGTCAAGAGAGGATTCCAACAACAAATTCCATCTTGTAGCCTGTGACAAACTTTGCCAGCCTAGGAAAAGGGGAGCTCTAGGGATCAAAAATCTCAGAACTGAAAATTTTGCTCGTCTTGGCAAATGGTGTTGGCGCCTGGTGACCTTAAGGGATTGCTTATGGATTGACATCCTCAAGAACAAATATCGCCTCCATGACTCTCCTTGGTTTTCGGATTTCAGAACTAATTATAGGTCCTCCAGCATTTGGAGGTCAACTTGTTCCACTTAGCAACTCCTTAAATCCCGAATCAGATTTCATCCAAGATCAGGGAACCACATCCTATTTTGGCGTGACCTGTGGCTAGGCCACACCCCTCTCAGGGATAGATACCCTGATCTCTTCTCTCTTGCTCGAGATCAAGGGGCTTCTGTAGCCCAAGAGATGCTATTGGCTGGGACCCTATGCTCCTAGAATCCAGTCTTCAAGAGAGCACTTAACGACCTCGAAATCATGAGTTTCGCCTCTCTCATGGTAGAACTATATGCTTGTTTTTTAGCACCTATGGGCCCTGACCGCATAATTTGGACTCCATCACCGTCTGGGATTTTTACAGTGTCCTCGTTCTTTCATAGATTGTTTCAGCCTACAACCTTTCCTTTAGCCTGCACAGCCGTCGCAGCCCAGGCCTGGGTATCCTTTGCTCCCCGCAAAATCGAGATTTTCATGTGGTTGGTTCTCTCCCAGAGAGTTCTCACAGTTTATCAACTGCAAAGAAGAGGAATCCTGCTCCCCAATCGTTGTATTATCTGTCTAGCTAAGGAGGAAACAAATAACCACCTTCTTCTGTACTGTCCCTATGCTTTCAATCTTTGGGGAGAAGTCCTAAAACCTTTTAAGGTGCAGTGGATGTTGCGTGCAGGTGACTTTCATTCTCTCATCCATCCAGCCTTTCCCCTAGCCCAAAGCAAGGATTCTTCTTTGGCAATCAGCAGCGGCTCCATCAATGTGGGCTTTATGGATTGAGTGCAACAACAAAATTTTCCGGGGGGAGTACTCCCTCGGCTCAAAATATTCACCAAGCTGAAGTCCTCTATCATGTTTTGGGTGACTAACCACCTTTGCTTCAAAGGAGTTCCTGCCTCGGCCTTCCATTAACATTGGAGCATTGTCCTTTAGCATCATTGTTTGCACCCATCCAGGGCTTCCAATTGGAGTCCACCCCCTCTGGGCATGCTTAAGCTAAATTTTGACACATGGTCCTTCAACAATCCAGGGTTGTCAAGCATTGGAGCCATCCTCAGAGACCACCTCGGTTTCCAAACACATCGGCCAAGCAGACTCCATGGAGGCTGAGGTGCTAGCTCTTTTGGAAGGCCTAAACTTCATCCAACCTCTCAATCTGCACTCTCTCACCGTAGAGGGAGATTCTAGGAATACCATTGCCTTGGCTCAGAGTCTCACTTCTTCCCCCCCCCTTGGTTCTTGGCACAAACGTGACGAGATTGATTACCTCTTCATGAATACGTTCGTTGTGTGGATGCATACTTGGGGGGAAGGAAACCAAAAACCTGACACCCTAGCAAAAGAAGCAGCGGGAATGGCTGGAAACTAGAAGATCCTTGGTTTTTTGGGTTTCTTGCCTTTTGTTTTTTTATTTCTTTGTTCTGTGGATCGGCTTCTTTTCTTTGGTTGATGTTCTTTACAGTAACTTCTTAAAAGAGGCTTAGATTTCGCTTTTTCTTTTTCTTTCTCTATCGCCTTGAGCACTATTCTTTGTGGACTGCCAAGACATTTTGTACTCCTCTTCTTTCAATTAAAGGTCAACATTCTCAAAAAAACATCCTACACCTTGCACCTAGGCCATCCCATCTACTGGTGAGCTGAGTACCTCCACCTCCGGTTTCTTTGAAACTTTATATTGATGGCTGCTCTATAGGAAACCCAGGCCATCCATCCATGGCCATTCCATCCAGCGGTCTGCTGAATACGTCTACCTTCGGTTCATATAAAACTTAATATTGATGGCTGCTCTCTAGCAAACTCAGGTTTTATAGGCCACATAAATTCCACCAACACCAAAACTATTGCTATGCTTGATGGCCTAAAGAGAACCATTACCTTCAATGGAAACTTTCAGATCCTTACAGTGAAAGGCGACTCTAGGAATGTAATATCCTGGGCAAATGGACACACCTAACCCCCATGGAGAGTAGCCTATCATTACGACCATATTGTTGTCGATTATAGGGGAGTTCCGTCACCTTCAGCCATATCCCCCAAGAGGCCAAGGTTGTTGCTGATTGTCTCACCACCTGTCATCTCATCTCTCGCTATATCTTCTCTACTAGATTACAATGCTTATTTTCCCTCTCTGGGACCCAGTCTTCTCGTACTGATTGTAATGGCCTATTTCTTGCAGGCTGAAAACATCTTCAACCTCGGGCTTTTTACTGTGGAAATAATTCAATTATAAATAAGAAGGGAAAGTTGAGTATGAAAGACTGGGTAGGTGGGATGTCCCAAAAATGCTTCCCAATTTGGACATCCTTATAATCATTTATACATGAGTAATAGAAGTGCCCATGAAAAAAATAATTATTGCATAAGAATATATTTGGTTGTTTGCCCTTGTAAAGCTATCTAAATCCTTAATATGCATGAAGTATTGTAGCTTACTTCTAAGCTATGAACATCTTTTGCCGTGGTTACGCTATTGATTCTTTGACCTCATCTACACACACTATAGGAGCTCAAGATTCCCACTCTTGAAACCAACAATTCAATTGACAGTGTCCACAATGTTTCACGGAAAAGTGTCTCAATTGTCTTCAAAAAATGCTTCCGATATGTTTCTAGTAGCTTAGGTTAGGGTGCCTTTGGATCATTGTGAACCATCTTCTATGGGGACCATTTTACTTGAGATATGGTCGGTGAGAATATTTCTAGAGAAATTATCTATCATGTTTGTCTCATATTAGTTCATGTGGTTTTGTGTCATGATGGTGGCATGATTGTGGTTTTGGTCATGTTCGGATCTGTTCCACATCTCTTGTTGCACATGGTATGCAAATCTATGGCCTGAATTGGGTTGAAGTATTGTGTGCATTTCATTATTTCCTGGTACTAATGTTCTAGTATTTCTTGCAATGAGCCTTTTTTTTTTGTTTGGTTGATTATGCAATGATTTTTTTCTTGTGCATAACATTCAAAAAAATAAAGAAAAGTCTTATTGGGTATTCAAGTCGACAACCAAAAATCCGATAATAGATATTAATACTAATGTTGCATCTCATAAATTTGTTCAATTGTGTCTTTATTATTATCATCTACTCTTTCGTTCTACTGATGGCAACTACAAAATGGTCTTCTACTTCATATGAGGTTTTTATATAGACAATTCATGGTTTCACTTTTCTGCCTACAGGTGAGTTTGCTTCTTGACAGACAAGATTTCCAGCAAAGAGTTAAAGTTTTTTGTATGAATCGTGGGCTTCCAGAGCATTGGCAGAACTCTGGTCCTTTGAAGCGACTTGAGCTACAGAAAGCTCTTGGGAACCATTTATCCGGAAAGGAAAGGTAACCAGCCAAGTATGAATTGTTTCTGATGGAATTGCTATTTAGGCCCATCCACTTTTTGTTCTTATAGATGCAGTTGATTGGACGATTACCAATTTTTTCATGAAGAAAATTCTCTCATTTCTTTGTTGGGATCGATCTTGAAACATATAGTATTTCTTCTTAATACTGGTAGATATCAATGTTAAATGAGTCAATACAGCACATTAGTATATTGGAAATCAAAGAAAGTGTAAGAAAGATCGAGATATAGAAGAGAGAAGGTTGGAGAGATAGATGAACGAGAGGAAGAGAGAGTCACATGAGGAAGACAAGAGAGAATAGAGTCGCGGCGTTGTCCTCCCAGACACCCACGCCTTTTAATAATAAAAATATGAAGCATAAACGGTGCCTCTTAAGAAAAGGAAATGACCAAAATATCTTCAAGGACTTAAGTACGAGAAGAAATTGGTAAAAAGTTGATTATTCATCGGACTCCCCCAGCTCGTCCATAGATATCTGTCATGCCCAGCTTGCTTAAAATCATTTGCAGTTGAGGTTACCCCACAACCTTGGTAAGAATGTCTGCTACCTAATTCTATCATGTTGGACCGGATTATAGACTATACTGACTGTTGCCTTTCTGTCACAATACAAGGGTATTGACCCTTTCATGGGAAAACCAAGTTCTCATAAAAGAATTTTTAGCCAGACTAGTTCACGTTCACCATGAGCCATGGATCTATTCTCCGCTTTTGCACATGATCTTGCACTATTGACTGCTTTTTACCCCTCAAAGTCATAAGTTTCCCTTCAACAAAAGTACAGCACTCCGATGTCGATCTTCAATCTATAACAGAGCTAGCCTAGTGTGGATCTGTATAGGCTGCAACCCGTAAATATCCATGATTAGCAAACAACAATACTCTCCCTGGTGATGATTTTAGATGATGGAGTACTTTGATAGCAGCCTCAAGGTGTATAGTTTGTTGCGAATGCATAAATTAACTAGTCACGCTTACAGCATGTGAAAGATACATTAGTCAACCCACTAATCATTTGAAACATATCCACATCCTTAGGAGCTTCTCATCAAGTTGTGATTTTGTTTAATAGGTGTGTTAGCTTGTTTAGCGGCAAGCTTTCCAGAGGAGCTTCTCATCAAGTTGTGATTTTGTTTAATAGGTGTGTTAGCTTGTTTAGCGGCAAGCTTTCCAGTTTCCTTAAGTAGGTCCAATATATACTTCATTTGAGAGATGAAAATTCTTCTTTTGACCTAGCTACTTCTATTCCAAGAGAGAACTTCAGTGGGCGCAGATCTTTGATTTCAAATTCTCAAACGCTCAAGTTGCAGAATTTCATTAAGACAATTGCCAGTTACAACAATGTTGTCCACATATACAATTAGGATTGTGGTGTTGGTCTTGGTATGTTTGATAAATATGGTATGGTCAGCATGACTTTGAGTATATCTGATTCTCCCCACTGAACCTCTCAAAGCCGAGGAGATTGTTGTAGTCCATAGATGGCCTTTCTCAGTCTACAAAGTTTCCCTTCACATCTAGGTGCACAAAACCCAGGTGGAGGTATCATGTATGCTTCTTGTAATTCACCATGAAGGAATGCATTCTTGACATCAAATTGATATAAGGGCTACTCCAAAGTAGCTGCCAAAGATAAAAGTACTCGAAATGGAATTCATTTTGGAAGCATGAGAAAATGCATAGTTATCATAATCTCTTAGCCAAGGTCGCTATTCTGGATCAGAACTCCAATTCAGTGATTCTGACAAGGAATCTTCACAGAACCCATTTCCTAGAACTCAGGAATCTCCATTCCTTAAATTAGGAATCTAGTTTCAAACCTTTTTGGAATTTCTATCCTAATATTTATGGAATCTCAGTCCTAACTTTTTCAAATCTCAATTCCAACATTTATTGAATCTTTATTCTACATTTATTGATTCTCGATTCCACATGTACTGAATCTCGATTTGTTTGGGCTTTGAATCCAAAATCCACAGCATCAAGTACCTCGGTTCGTACGTGCAAGGAACTGCGATTCAATCAACATGAAATCTTGCTTCGACCACCATAGAATCTCGATCCGAACTATTTTTGAATCTTGATCCCTTTCCATTTGTGTGTTTCCTCATTAGATTGTGTACAAAAATAGTGGTTGTATATAAATTTGTTAGTCTTTTTTGTCTGATCTATAGCTTACTCAATACCTTCGTTTTGCTAATGTCATCATGCATCAGTCAATGCAATGAGCCGCAATTGTCCAGTAAGTCATCATCATCTTCCGAGCCTTATCCCAACTATTTGGGGTTACCAACACGAATCTTGTTACGCCATTCCACTCTGTCAAGAGCCAACACCATATCTCCTCTCATTACTTCTATCCATGTCCTTTTGGGCCTTCCCCTTGTACTTTAGATCCTACCACTTGAACCAAATTGCCTTCGTAACCGGTGTTGTTCTATGTCGACGTTGCATATGGCCGGACCATCAAAGTCTACTTTCCCTCATCTTATTGACTGTTGGAGTCATCCTTGATTCCCTCCGATATATTCATTCCGAATTCTAGCCTTCTTGTCTTGCCACTTATCCATCTCAACATCCTCATGTCAACTACACTCGTTCTATGGATATGTTATTTCTTGACCGCCTAATATTCAAATGGCTCAAACATAGAGACCTCAATACAGCTTTCTTCCATTGGATAGGAGACGGGAGAATTCTATTTCCCAACTAAAAGTGGGTCAATGTCGTTCTTGACCAGCCCCACCTCATCGAAGAAGAGGTCATCGACTACTTCTTTCTCCTTTTCACCTCTCCCCCAACCCTCGTATGTCGGATCGCTCTTTCCTCTCTCTCCTTGCTGCCCAAGCTGCTTTGCTTGAACGCCCTTTCGAAGAGGCAGAAATTCTTGAAGCCATTAACTCCCTCAGCTAAGAAAGGGCCCCGATGGATACCCAGTGGCTTTCTTCAAGGCCCTTTGAGACTTTTAAACCTGATTTTATGGAGTTTTTTGCTGACTTCCACTCACGGGGTGCAATTTGCAAATCCCTGAATGCCACTTTCATTGCCTTGATCCTAAAGATCGAAGGAGCCGAAGAACTTAAAGATTTCAGATCTATTATCTTGATCAACAACTCTTACAAAATCTTTTCCAAGGTCCTTGCCTCTCGTCTCAAAGGGGTTTTGAACTGGGTCATTTCCCCTTCCCTAGGGGCTTTTGTAAAAGAGATACAAATCCTTGATGGTGCCCTCACACCCATGAATGTATCCACTCATGCCTCCAATCCAAATCCCCTAGCCTTATTGTCAAATTGGATTGGGAGAAAGCCTACAATCATGTGAATTGGGATATACTTGACCAAACTCAGTTAAAGTTGGGTTTTGATGACCACTGGAGGCTTTGGATGAGGTGTTGTATTTTTAACCCCTACTTTTCTATTCTTTTGAACTGCTCTCGGGTGGGTTTCTTCCCGGCCTCTAGGGGTCTTCGCCAAGGTTGACCCCCTATTCCCTTTCCTCTTTGTCATTGCTGCCGAGGTTTTCAATAGGGCCATCTCTAGATTCTATGATGGTGATTATCTCAGAGGCTTCAAATCCTCCACCTGTGGACCAACCATCTCCCACTTGCAATATACAAATGATACCCTCGTCTTCTTCAATGCCTCATGGGAGCATGTGGATTCCCTTCTCTATTTTTTAAAGTGCTTTGAATTCTCCACTTGTTTCATGGTTAACCTGATCAAAACCAAAATGATGGGTGTATGCACGGCCAACCCCCTTATTCTGTCCTTTGCGAAAATATGGGGACATGTGGCTGATGAACTCCCCTCTTTCTGCCTTGGCCTGCCCCCTTGCCACGGTATGCCCAGATTCAACCGATGGAGTCATCTCGTGGATAAGTTTGACAGAAGATTTGCTGGCGGGAAGGGTAGATTTTTATCCTTTGCAGGTTGCAAAACCCTCATTAGAGCCACCCTTCAAGTATTCTTGTATTCCAAATGTCTCTTTTTCACATGCCGGCTGCGGTGGTCGCAAGGTTGGAGAAATTAATGAGGAATTTCCTCTGGTCTGGTACTGAGGGCCATAGGAATCACCTTAATGCATGGGACAAAGTATGCTCTCCCATTGCTCAAGGAGGGCTAGGCATCTGCAAGCTTTATGCTAACAATCTTGCCTTGCTAGGCAAGTGGCGTTGGCGGTATGCTACCCAACCTGAGCATCTATGGAGGCAAGTTATTTGCCATAAATATTATTGAGGCAGCGATGATTGGTTTCGCTTGTGCAGAACTGGTGGTAGAATCTCGGGCCTCTGGAGATCGATCCTTAAAAGCTGGAACATCTTCTTATCCAAAATCCATTTTCACCCTCTAGCTGGTCATCACATTCGCTTTTGGGAAGATCTGTGGATTGGCCAATCTAAGCTGAAAAATCTCTTCCCTCTCCTCTTGAGGGTGGCCACTAATCCTATGGCTACCATGGCTGAACTCTTTCCTTTTCATACCTCAGTGAGATCTTGGACACCTGTTTTAGAAGAGCCCTCATGAATATTGAATTCCAAGAATTCTCAGCCATGTCGACTCTCTTAGCCCAGCTTTTCCTTCCCCCTTCCGGCGAAGACTTTCTCGTATGGACCCCCTCCCCCTCGAGTTCCTTTACAATAGCCTCATTGTGTCTCAAGATCACCTTCCCCCTACTTTCCCCCTCAACCCCCTGTCCATTACAGCTAAAGCTTGGTTCCCTTTCACTCCTCCCAAAATTCAGGCCTTCCTTGGGCTCGTGCTATCCCAAAGAGCCCTCACCATAGATCAAATCCAAGTTAGAGGCTTCCCCTTACCTAATAGGTGTGTCATGTGCACTTCAGCTGAGGAAACTAACACCCATCTTTTTCCATCCGATGATTTTGTTACCTCCCTTTGGTCCAAACTGTTGTCTCTCTTTAATTGGATCTGGGTAACTCCTGCGTCCGTTCCTCATCTCTTCTCCACTTCTCTCTATCCC